ATTGGCTTTTCCATGCTAGTTGTTGATTTGGGCAATGTTGGGCGTGAGGCGAGACGTTTTACTTCTGACGAGGCGAGACGTAAGCCTTGAGACATGGGGCGTAAGTCCCACGGATCATTAAATTTTACTAATTTTAAGATAGTATAAAATAAAAAATAATTATAAAAATTACATTAACATCACAAAATTATAACAAATAATGTGTTTAAAATAGTTATAAATTATAATTCAATTATGAATAAAACGAAAAGTATGACGTATATCATAATATGCAAATTAGCTTCAACGTCGTTACAACTCAAACATCAAAAGTAATATATTCGATACAAAATCTTATATGTATCTCTTAAGGAGTAATGAATCTTGAAAGAATTTCGATATTATAATTTGATATTTTTCTTAAAGTACTCCTTTTATTTAATATGCTTTCTATTTGAAAGAGAATTTATATACAAACATAATTCACAATTTAAATATGATTCTCTAGCATCGTTTATTTTTAAGTTTCAACAAGTTAATAAAGTGGCACATAATTCACCATACAATATCATGGTAACTAATTATTTGTAAATAGTTAGTAACTAATACTGAGCTATTAAATTAATAAGTATTGTATCTCGTAAACGTGAAAAAAATAATATTTAGAAAAATAAATATAAAAAAAATTATGGACTATTATATAGTAAAGACATAATAAAAGTTAATAAACAAATACTTTTTAAATGAAAGATTTATTTAAAATTAACTAATTACAGTCTTAGTGGATAAAGTGCAATAATTTTTATTTTAATTATGACATAGAATACTCTCAACTTAATGATTTATGATTACGAAAAAAGTAATTTTGAATAGTCAACGTTTTATTAAGAAAATTTGAGGATTTACAAAGTTAGTTACGTACAATTGCATAAAGTTCTATTAGCCAAGCCCAGTACGCTGGGCGTTGGGCGAGTTCGGGGCGTAAGCTCAAATGGCCGAGGCGTAAGTCTCACGGAACTAAACCCCACACATAAGGCCACGGATGTTTTACGAGTGCTCCGCCCCGAACGAGCTCCGGGCGAGTCCCAATTCTGCCTTTTAAAACAGAGGACGGGGGCATGCTTTGGAGATACATGGTTAAGACTTCCCAGTTGGAGAATTTATGTATATTCTCTGATTAACATCTTTCATTTGTTTCAAAAGGAACTCAAAAGGGGTAAAACAGTGGCGCTGGAATACAACTATTGAGTCGACCAAAACTATATTCGCATTACCCTGTTTTCGCATAATGTCTCATGTGGTCTTGGTAATTGGTATGCATGGTCATCGTTTCAGTAACCATGACACAAGTAAACAATATCCCTTCTTGTTCTGACTACGAGTCTATTTGGCTTAACTGATTTAAAGTAGTTGATAAGCTTTATCAGTGGCAAAGCCAGAAATGTTTTCAAGGGTATTCAAACTTAAAAGAAGTAGAAAAAAATTCCGACAAAGAGTGTTCAATATAGGTTTTATATATCTAAAACAAATATTTTACTTATATATGCAGTGTAATTTTTCAGCGAAGGGTGGTCTTGCTAAAGGTGGCTTCGCGGTCCGCCTTACGTGCTGAAAATAAAAATAAAAATTTAAGTACTGAAATTGATTTAATAAAGAATAATGGCGGACCCAAGATTTTATTCAAGCAGGGTCAATAAAGTAAATATTGTATGTTGATTTTTTTCCTTTCCCAATAATGCCCATAAAATTATTTTCATTTTGAGATGGTGTTAAATACACAAAATAAACACTAAACTCGACTTTATGACATGTAAAACAATTAAAAGACATAAAAAAAACAATAAATACACCAGCTTTGCATATACAAGTAACTTTTAAATGTTACTATTTACAAATAATAAATACTATAGCATAAATTGTATTAGTAAAACTTAAAATACTCCATACGACACAAACAATGTAAGTTTTGAAAGAAAACTGAGCTAACAATTTTAATATATTATTTAAATTGAACTAGTAACATAAGAGGATAAAGAAAAACGCTAACTGTAATAGTTTACTTACCGTTACTGGTGTGGTTCTCTCTTGAACAGGAATTGTTTCCAAAATGACCCCGCTTGACCACTGAGCCGACTATTTATCTCAAAAATACGAGTATTAATTAAATTTGATTAGTAATTTTAAAAATATGTGATTTAGTTCAATACAAATTAATAATCAAGAAATATGAAGTAGAAATGAAAGATAAAAGTGAATCAATGTTACTCAGCAGTAGTAACCTCGAGCTTCGTGACCTCGAGGTAGGCTTAGAATAATAAGAACAATTAAGTAATAAAAGCAAAGTAAGAACAGTAGAGCTAAAAGACAATGCTGATGAACAGTGAGCAAGAAAGTAAAGAGTATATTCTTTGCTCAATGATTAGATGATGTTACAAATGATTGGGGTCCCCTTTATATAATAGGGGAACCCTAAATAAGGAATATTTCTATTTATAGTAAGGAATATTCTTGGTACAACTGTCTAATCGCCTAGTACAGAATCGTACAATCCTATTCTGGGATTTGCTTCATGACATTGGGGACGTGGCAGGAATCTAGCTTATTCTGGTACAAATCCATAATGGTACTATTTCGGGGTCAAGCATACTTGGCCCCGGTGTTCCTCGAACTTCCATCCCAGGACCTTGCACTCTGTCTTCGAGCTCAAGTTTGGTCAACCGATCTCGAACTCGATCTCGTTTGGACTCGGACTTCGGACTACCTCTCGAATACATAGATCGAAGGCATTCGATCTTGACCATATACAAATAATCCCCGTCTTTCTTAGAATAAGATGATAAGAAACGATTTGATCCTCGTTTTCCCGAAATCTTTATTGATGATGTCATTTTTGTGATGCAGGCATCCGAAGTGAATGAAACGTCCCGTCGGTCCACTTCCCCAAAACATTGAATGCACGCTAGTATTGGTTGCCACTAGCGCCACCAAACCGTCGTTGCCCTTTTATAAATATGAGGCTATTCCTTTGAATAAAGAACTTTACTCTTTCTTTACATCTTTCCCTTCTTCATCTCTTTCTCTAATCACATGTTTTCACCGCCTCTTTAAGCGCCGGAAAATGCCAAGTTCTTGTAAAAAATACCACATTCTGATACCACCTATATTCTTTAGCTTAAAATCATGGCTAAAACTTTCAAAACGGTCCCTAAAAAGGATAAAGCGTCGTCTTCTTCTACCTCTCGGCCGGCCAAATCGGTGACGCTGCCAACTCTTAAGGAAATCACCCCCGACCCTTGTGTGATAAAGAATGACTTTAGCATTGAAAATCCCCACGATGTCCCAGGCCGATGCGAGCATGCATCTCGATATCTTAGTTTGATATCGGAGAAGCATCTTAAAGATGTGAAGAAAGACTGTGGTTGGGGAGATGAGGTCGTGGTTCAGATCCCGAGCCTCAGGGAACACATTACTACCCACGTGGAGGAGATTTTAAGTGTTTATACTTACCCCTTCACACTAGGTCCCCTTGATCCGGTGGTGATCGACTTCTGCAAAACATACGAAGTCACCCTCAGCCAGATTCATCCCTCTTTTTGGCGCATTGTGATCATGCTGCGCTACTTTTCCGAAAAGGCCGAGGGGTTGGAATTCATCCTCAGCCACCTGATTCGACTGTATCGGCCCCAGATGTTTCAAGGGCTTATCAAGCTGCAACGTCGAACAAGGAAAGCCTTCTTTGCCAGTAATGATGAAATCAAAGATCGAGGTTGGATGAGACGGTTCGTCAGAGTAAGAACTTCGGATGTCATCCCTAGGGACAAAATGTCGTTCCCAGAGAAGTGGAACTTTAATCATAAGTGGAGTTCTTTTTTGCCAGTATCTATTCATATTCTGCTTTCACGTTTCATAATGCCTTCACCCTTTTTTGGCAGCCACCACCTGGGCGCCCCACGCGGTGCCCGATCTCAAGGATTGGGTCCAAAAGTTAGCTGCCACTTCCTCCTACGATGAGCGCAAATGGCGTGAATTATCGAAGGGCCAGTGGGAGGCCAAGAATCATGGTAAGTGATTTTCCCAAGTTTTTTAAATACTTTTCATATGTTAGTGGTGTCAATTTATTCACGTTTACTTGTGCAGGCCTCAAAGATGTATCTGAGATGAGGCCGGCTCCGCCTGGGGAAGGGACCAAGTCTTCAATCCTAAAGTCTGAGAAGGACAATAAAAGAAAAAGGGTTTCGAAGCCTGAAGACCCTTAAGACAAGAAAACCCCAGCCCGAAGGCTGCGAAAGAGATTTGCTCAAGCGGGCGCAGATTCGGCCCACGATTCTCCGAATGGCGAAGAAAATGATGGTGAAGAGTCAATGTTGGTGCCTCGAGACAGGAAACCAATCGAGGCCGCCAAGCCCTCCGAACTAGAAACCTCATCCCGTGGTGAGGGAACCCCAAAGAAAGATGTGGGTAAGGCCCCCATGTAAGATCATTCCTCCACCTTCAACAAATGTACCGAAGGGGGCAAATGCGGAGACCCCCGAAGCCAATGAGAACGCCCCTAGGGAAGAGCTCGGGGCCACGACAATAGGTCATTCCCTTTCTTTTCCAACTTATTCCGAGGGGGAAATCGAAGAAGCTAACACTCTGCGTATGCCCGATCCGAGCAAGGTCCTCGAGGAAGATCCATTTTAGGGTTGCTTTGCTGGGGTCGAGGATGCCACTGACCTTAATGATGCATCCACCATCTTTGAAGAGGCTCAACATCTCCTTTCTCGGGTAAATACTTACTTTGATCATTGTAATTTTCTCTTTCTCTCTTTTCTTTTGACTGATATATCTTCATTTCACGTATAGGCCATCGTAAAGTTCAGAGCTGAGCTGAGCCAATGTGAGGCCGAGCTCAAGAAATTTTCAAGCGAAGAGAAGGCCCTTAGGCTCCTCTGTAGCAAGAAGGAAGAGGAGCTTAAGGATCTCCGGGCCGAATTGACCAAAGCTCGAAAACCGAGTTTGAGCTAGATGAGCAGGTAACTATGATTTTAATAGAGTACGACCTTCTTGGCCCTAATTCGGAGGCTAACACTTCGATATCTCAGTTGCAGCAAAAGCTAGAGATGATTGGGCAGCTCCCAGGTGAGGTTGATCAAGTTAAAGCTGATTGTCATCGATGGAAGGAGAGCATGGATCAACTTGCTACCGATAAGGAAGTCATTACAGCCCAACTGGCCTCGGCTGAAACTCAACTCCGAGGCATTAAAGTGAAGGGTCTGGCCCAGGCCAAGAAAATTGAGGAGTTAGAGGTAGAGCTAGCTAGAGCTCGGGCTTAAGCTATACAGGCTAAGGCCGAAGCTGAGAAGACGAAGACTGCGGCCGATAAATCCATTATCGTATATTTAAGGGATTTCGTGTCCGTTCAAGATGAATTGAGGGAGGACTCCGACCGGGAGGAAGGGAGCAATGATTTGGCCAAGTGCCAGGCCCAGAGGGAGACTCTCGAAGAAATCCATGCCCGAGGGTTCGACCTTGCCGAGGATATAGCCGAGGCAAAGGCGCGGGAAACCGATGCTAGGTTTCTTGTCTCTTCCGATGATGAAGATGTAGTGAGTGGCTCCGGGGATGGGGAAGGTGAAGAAGATGTTCCCGAGGGAGAGGAGGCTCTCGAAGATAGAGCTGCTGAAGGTGCAGTTCTTGAAGATGACGCTCCCGGGGGTGTGACCCTAAAAATAGATTAGGTTTTCTTTTCTGTGTAAGGGCCCCTTCTGGGAGTTGTAAACATGTTTTGTAAAACAACCCCTCATGAATATATAGTATCTTTTTTATCTATTCTCAAGTTGTGTTGGATTTTATTTTGTTTTCTTTTGCGGAAGATTTCGATGATTCAAACAATCAGTCCGAGTATTGATTCGGACTCATAACATAATAAACCCTTAGGTTTTTATTGATCAATATAATACCCCTTAAGATTTTGTTAATCCTCGAGCTAAGCTTAAATCAATTCGATGTGAGCTCGGAATAATGGGACTCTTGAGTTCGAGTTGAGTGAGAGCGAGGTCTCGAACTCTATATATTTTGGTCCTTAAGCTCTTTTAAGTTGGCCCTTAGGCTCTTATATATCGGCCCTTAGGCTCTTTAAGTTGGCCCTTAAACTCTTTAGGTTGGGTTGTTTCGGCCTCTAAAATGGCTATAATTTTTCCCTCTTTCCGGTTAAAAAACTTAGTAAAATTTTTTGTATGCCTTAGCATGTATTTTTTGTACTCGTTTGGGTTTTTTGAAGGTTCGACGTATCGGAACCTTATTAGTAATTTGTTTGTGTAAACATAATCAAATACCTCTTGAGGTTTTTCCGAAGGCTGATGTTATCAAAGCCTTTGGATTATTCGAGGGCTAAATTTATCGAAGTCCTTAGATTTTTTAGGGGCTGAATTTATCGAAGCCCTTTATATTTTGCTTTTACCGAGGGTAGCCTGATTTAACTGATTTTTTAATGTTTAAAGGCCTTTAATTTATAACGAAAGTAGGATGTCTCCGAGATGCATTATTTTGGCCGTAGCCGTTATATGATCGTAGTCTTTAGTATGGCAGCAGCCTTCGAGTTTGTCACTTGGACTTGTTTCCCGATAATTTTCCGAACTTGTTCGAAAAAGTTAGTCCCCGAGTATATTGTCCTTGGCCTTTGTTTTGAGGGGGTGACTCTTTGAGGCCTTATGAGTCCGAGTTTTCAATGACTCACATATACTGACTGTCGATGATAGTCCCCGAGTATTCGGGGGTGCTTTTATGCTTTGGCCGTTGAGCCGTTTCCCATAGGATTATAAGTGTAGAACTCGTATAATAGTAGACTTCTTTGAGACACAAAGTGTTTTTGATATTAACATAATGCTTCTTCAAATAATTTATACATGCATACATGATTTGCCGTCAGGGCTCGACTATTCTATATGGACACAGTTCATCTGACCGTTTGGCCCATTACAAAGTTTTCCTATCGAGGCCCTCTTAGGTGTGAAGTATTTTCCTTGAAAATATAACCTTCGAGGGTGATGCCCCCCAGTATTCGAGGTTGATTAAAAAGAATCATTGGATACTGTTGAGTTCTCCTTAGGTATCACGTAGTTCTTGCCTTGTTAAAAACCTTGCCAGTAAAACCCATTTGGGACAAAATCGGACCTAAGGGAAAAAGAGACTAGTGAAACGCATGCTTTAAAACCTAAGGCCTTCGTATAACAAGGGTGTCTTCGAGATCGCATGCCTTTGATAGCTTCGATCGAAAATCTGTAACAAGTTAGTTTTAAACTCAAATGTACAAAAGGATAATGTTATACCTTAGAAGTAGTATCGTTTGAGCAATGATATGTTCCAATTGTTTGGCAGTTGTTCACCTTCCATCATACTAAGTTTGTAAGATCCTTTACCGATGCATGTCGAAACCTGGCGTTGGGTTCTCCAACCTCGACAGGGATGAGGGCCTCGGAGCCATATACTAGAGAAAAAGGGGTGGCCCCCATGATAGACTTCGATGTCGTCCGATATGCCCAAAGGACCTCGAGTAAAACTTCTCTCCATTTCCCTTTTGCATCGTCCAGTCTTTTCTTCAAGTTTTGAATAATAGTTTTATTTGTTGACTCGGCCTGTCCATTTTCGATTGGGTGGTATGGTGTCGACAAAATCTTCTTTATTTTATGTGCTTCGAGGAACTCTGTTACCTTTCCGCCGATGAATTGCTTTCCATTGTCACATACAATCTCGGCGGGTATCCCGAATCGACATATGATGTAGTCCTAGATAAAGTCAATAACTTTTTTTTCTCGGACCTTCTCGAAGGCCTGTGCTTCCACCCACTTAGAAAAATAACCAGTCATAAATAAAATAAATTTAGCTTTACCTGGGGCCGTTGGTAGAGGGCAGACTATTTCCATTCCCCATTTCATGAAAGGCCACAAGGATATGACTGAATGGAGTTGTTCTCTAGGCTGATGGATCATCAGTGCAAATCGGTGACACTTATCACATTTTTTGACAAATTCCTTAGTATCTTTTTCCATGTTGTCCTAGTAGTATCCCGCTCTGATAATTTTGCGGACCAAAGATTCGGCATCGAAATGGTTCCCATAAGTGCCTTCGCGGATTTCTCGTAGAACATAATCGGTGTCCCCTGGCCCCAAGCATACCGCCAATGTTCCATCGAATGTTCTTTGGTACAATGTTCCATCTTTATCTAATGCAAACCTAGCAGCCTTGGCTCCTAAGGCCCTCGATTCTTTGTGGTCCGATTGGAGTTTTCCATTATTCAAATAGTCGATAAGTTTTCTCCAGTCCCACATTAAACATGTTGAATTTATCTCGGCATGACCCTCTTCAACCATAGACTTCGATAGTTGGACGATAGTCCCCGGTATGATGTCATCTTCTTCAACCGAAGATCCTAGATTAGCGAATACATCAGCCTCACTATTTTGTTCTCGAGGTACGTGATCCAGAGTCCACTCCTTGAAGCGGTGCAAAGTTACTTGTATCTTATCTAGGTACCGCTGTATTCTATCCTCTCGAACATCGAAACTCTTACTTACCTGATTTACCACCAATAGAGAATCACACTTGGCCTTGATGACTTCTGCTCCCAAGCTTTTGGCTAGCTCGAGACCTGAAATCATAGCCTCATACTCGGCCTCATTGTTATATAATCTAGGAGTTTTGATAGATTGCCTAATGGTATCACCCATGGGTGGCTTCAAGATAGTTCCAAGTCCGGACCTCTTCATTTTTGAGGCACCGTCCATGAAAAGGGTCCATACCTTCGATGCCGTACCCGAACTCAATAGGAGTTCTTTCTCCACTTTGGGTACGAGGATTGGCATAAAATCGGCCGCAAAGTCAGCTAGGATTTGAGACTTGATGGTCGTTCGGGGTTGATATTCGATATCGTACCCGCTAATCTAGATGGTCCATTTGGCCAATCGGCCCGATAACTCGGGCTTATGAAAAACATTTTGAAGGGGGTACATGGTTAATACACATATAAGATGACATTCAAAATATGGTTTTAGCTTTCTAGATGCGCTTATCAATGCAAGTGTTAATTTTTCTAAGTGAGGGTACCTAGTTTCAACATCTCCTAGAGTTCGGCCGACGTAATAAACAAGAAATTGCGTACCTTGCTCTTCTCGAACTAGTACCCCACTTACTACTATCTCGGACACTGCCATGTATAGATAAAGTTTTTCATATACCTTCGAGGTGTGAAGCAAAGGCGGGCTCGACAGATATCGCTTTAATTTTTCTAAGGCTTGCTGACATTTTGAGGTCCATGTGAAATCATTTTTCTTTTTGAGCAAGGAAAAGAACCGGTGACTCCGATCTGATGACCTCGAAATGAATCGACCCAGAGCAGCTATTCGACTTGTTAACCTTTGCACGACCATCATACTATCCACGACCGTGATGTCTTCGATGGCCTTGATCTTATCGGGATTAATTTCAATGCCCCTATTCGACACCATGAAGCTGAGGAACTTACCCGAGCCGACTCCGAAGGCACATTTCTCCAGGTTGAGCTTTATGTTGTATTTTCTCAAGATTTTGAATGTTTCCTGCAAATGAGTCAAATGGTCCTCTGCGCGCAGGGACTTAACCAACATATCATCAATGTAAACTTTCATTGTTTTACCTATTTGTTCTTTGTTTACCTTGAAAATGGTAATTACAATTAGATTTGATTTTGTGGTTCTAAAAATATGTGATCTATTTTTATGATAGTTGTTAGGCAATTGATGCTAAGTGAAAGACTTGGAAACAAGATAAGAGCTTGAAAATAAGGTGATAACCAAACCGAATGGCTGATAGTCGGGGCCTCAAGCTTGCTTATTTGGGGCCTCGAGGTCAAGTCTGATGCCCTGCCGAGGGTAGTCGATGGATGACTAACAGTTATGATAAAATCAATGACGGCTCTTTATGGCCAATAATAAGCAGTAAATGAAGAACAATAAATAGAACACGATAAATATAAACAATAAATACAAGTAATGAGATCAAGAGAATATGTTAGAGAGCAGAGAGAATATTCTTGTATATTCAATATTGAGCATCAGGTCCTTTTCAAAATGATAAGGATCCCCTTTATATATGAGGGAGAATCCCAATATATTACAAATGCACTTATTACCAATATACATGGTTGATACAACTAATTAATGTCACGGTACGGGCTTGAGCTAGCCAAATAGACTAGGTCAGCTTTTAATCATATGCCTTGGGAACTTCCCACTCTTTCACCATAATTATCGATTTGCATTGCCCCGAGGTTGGACGTCGGTAGCCTCTCGGGTGTGAATCTCGACCATAGCCTCAAGCTTTTGGAAACGTGCTGACGAAGCATCGTATGTCTGAAAATAGGACCGTCCAATTTTATCCTATACAAATAGTCCCTGCATTTCTTAGAGTGAAACGATAAGAAATGACTTCGATATCCATCTTTTGGAACTTCCCGTGATGATATCGTACTTATGATTTAAGCCTTTGTAATAACTAAGGCATCCCGTTGATTTACCTTTCCAGAATCATTTAATGTACCGCCGATTCATATTCTTCCAAAGCAATAATGTCCCTACCGGTCTAGTTCCCAAAATGCATTGACTGCGACTGTCGGTACGTCTTTCAAAGACATTGATTGCGCCATCGGTTATACTGCCACCCTTCTTATAAATGGAAGCCTTCTTGAATCAATACCTCATTCAAA